ATACCCCATAGTGCATTTGTATTTATGAATCCAATAAAGAACTCAACTGAGCTTTATGGCCCATTATGAGAATCTGTCAGGTACACAACACACTTTCTAGACTTTAATACTTTTACCCTCAGCTGCACTGTTTTTGAGGGCCCCCCTCTAATATTACCCACTCTGCATCACATAGCTCAGCTCCTTCTGAATCCACCAGCATATGTGCATGCCAACTCCTCCCACCATTCCAACCTTACTCCCCCCTAAGAAGAATGGAATCATTGTGGTTTCCATGGCATTTCCCAGCACTTCCCTGAAGACTTGCTGCTTAATTCTGATGTGGGCGCTTATGTTACAGTCATTAATTACTGCATTAAGTCAAGTCACAAAACTAATGAGGATTTGGACACAGAGTTAGAAAATGATAATGTATTTTTTTCCTGGATTATAAGATATAAAGATAAACATGGTCAAAATATTCAGAGATATGAAATCACAGCTTTTCATAGCTAACTTACAGCAGAAAATACAGGCTTCTGTGTCTCATCAAAATTGGGAGTAAGATAATCAAAACATCACCATTGGTAACATTTAGGCAGGCCTCAGTTCACTGTGCATTTTATTTTCAGCTCTGACATCTAAATAAAGAATGTTCTTTTTTCCTTATGGCATAAAAATCATTCTATAACTAAAACTAGAACCTTTTGAAGTTCTTGCATCAGACAGTAGGATGAGTCAAGAATGCAAGGCCACATGGGAAAAGTTGGCCTTTATGTGTGTGGATAGAGTTAGTCTTAGGATTATTTGGAGAGCACGGTTGGGTGTCTGTCTATACTCCACTTACTCTCAGTGGTACCTGTAAATCTTTCATCAGATGGAGAAGGTATGTCAGTCCCCATGGGTTTTGTATTACAACTAAGGGACTCCTGGGAGGGTACAAGACTGAATCATCAACACTTGGAATCATGAGCTGAATCAAAAGGATTAACAAGAAAATTACCTCCAATGCTATAAGCAATAGTTTCAGGTCCAATAAAGGTTGATAATGAGGTAAGCAAATAGCTTGTTGATATGGGGTGCTTTTGTGGAGGATCAATTCCATTATTTATAGGTTGGGGAACTCCCTAAAATTGCAAGTTAGCATGTGGCCCCTGGGCACCTAGTCAAGTCAAATAAGACACTGAAAACAAATAAAAATTTCCTCAACAACTTCACCTTAGGCATAACCATTCTGGTTGCATACAACAAATCTAGAAGCAAAGCTATTAACAGTTGGAAGGCATAGCCACTTTAGTAATGATAGAAAACTTTTCCCCTTAAACAACAAACAAAAGAGCTTAAATGCCCCAATGCACAAAATATGCGTACAGTTTTAGGGAATTTCAAGGATCTATGGAGTTTTCCCCTTGCATCAGTTTAAGAACTCCTCCTAATTTGTAGGTTTATACTCAAAGTGTGTGTCCTTCCCATTCTTTAAGTTTTGAAATTCTGAGGAACTATCTTGGTCAGTATACTGTTTGTCTTAGAGTCTGAAACAGAAAACACAATCATTAAATTTGAAGAAGATACCAAGAGCCCTAGTGTGTATGACAGTACAACTTTTGAGTGTGCATATATCATGTATTATACTCTACTAATGCTCATAACTTAATTCTCTCTTTTTCTAAGCTGAGGATTCAGAGAAATATCCTATTTCTCTAAATCATAGCTAGTGTTGAGGCTAGATTCTCAAGCTTGAGAGTGTTTGACTTTAAAGCCCATGTCTATGATAATATTGGAAATAATCAGGATAGCATTCAGCTTTCAAAGGTTTAAACTCAAGTTTAAGGCCAAATGAGCTGTGTATAGTTGATATCTTAAAGGTGCTAAAACAACTTTGCTTAAGTTCCATTAGGAAGGAATTCCCCTGCACACTCAGGTTCAGAGTAGGCGTCTCAAATGGTGCAACAAAGTGAATATTACCAGATGAATATCTATCAAGGTAGAACATACCATAAGATTAAGTCAGAAACATAGTTTTGGTGACTAAATATGTCTACTAATGCTGATGGGTCAAAAAATTTTGAAAGCAAAAATGTTTAGGTAATTCATTAATCCTTCTGAAAATGGTGGCCATTAGTTTGCCATGATAACAGATGGAGGAAAAAGTGATGGATTTAAGATTCCACACATGGGATTTATGTTATATAAAGAAGACTTTCTTCACAATATGACATCCTCACTATTCTTACTATTGAAAATAAGTCTCATATCAGCTCTTTTCAGCTTAATATGAATGTAGGCCAAAGTGTTCCCTCTCTCGGGGTATTTGCATTGTTAACCGGAGTGTGCAGGGAAATTCCTTCCTAATGGAACTTCAGCAAGATCTTTTTAGCACCTTTAAGATATCAACTATACACAGCCCATTTTGCCTTAAACTTGAGTTTAATCCTTTGAAAGTTCAGCTGGGCATATATTAATACTAATTTCTCCTTGGCCTCTAGGTAAATTGAGTTCAATGACTCAAATACAAATGTTAGTACTGACCCCAAAATTTCAGCAATATTTGGATCACACAACTTATTTATGAAGTTAGAACTACTTTTCTTTTCCTGGTTCCCTATTCATTCCTATTACTTAATTTATCATGTGCCTTGTTAAATTGGAGTACTTCCTGGGCAAGGACTCTATCTTACTTAGCTCTGGATTTCTAAGCCCAGCATAGTGTCTGGCTCATTGATAACCTTTCTGGGCAAATAATTAGATTCCTACAGTTCAAATTTGTCTTTAAAGTGACATCTCTGTTTCTCCTTCAACAAGGATTTTTCCTCAGGTCAGTGTATACCCACAATGAAGGAAAAGTCTAAGCCAGCCTGCCATAAGACAAACCCCACCCAATCCAAGCAATTTTTAGGACATTTTAGAGCCTATAATTTACTACACTTAGGAATCAGAGATAACAAGAATTGCCTATGGATCTAAGTCTGCGGAACATTATATCTTTTATTGTTCTAGAATGACATGCCTTCATAGTAAAGAAGGAAAACAACAACAACAGTTGTTTCATTTTGACAGTGTACAACACCAGATATTTACTAAAGAAAACACCACCCAAGGCCCAGAGGATTAGCTGAAGCAGCTGATACCCTGTGCTGCTTTTTATAACTCTCCTTTCCAGCACCATGCTCTACATATGTCCTGTTTCATCAGGTCACATCAACTTAGGTCATGCCCACTATTGCATCTTACACCAAACAAATGCATCACCATGCAGAATATTCTTTCCTTGAAAATTAAGTGGACATTGGGGAAGTTTCCTGGTTCTTGTACAAGCACTTGGCTTTGCTACATTTTGTAAGCAAGCAGCCCCTTTCATTCCACAAGACACTGGGGCTATTGGCTACTAGCAAGCTGTGAAAATATTTGGTATAAGAATAGATTATGCAATAGAGAACCAAATTACATATATAGTTGTTGAGTGAGATTCTGATGATGTTAAGTCTGTAAACTTATTGAAATTATTTGCAAGAATCCTACTTGTCCACTTTTTTGGGGGGTGGTCAATGAAATTGGAGAGAAGAGGGTATTCTATACAACACCTTTAGATGCCAATAGTTGTTCATTATACCAAAATATCTCTCTCTTATATAGTGCATTGTCTTGGCCCTTTGGAAGATGTTTTTTAAAAGGAAAAATCTAAGTATCTCAAAAATCTTACTGTTTAAAAACAATGTTGATTTTAAATACAGATATCCATAAGTTATTTATGGAACATGTAATCTATGTCAGATATTATAACAAGTACATTTTAAATTTAGGAGTTGGCAAACTATAGCCAAAGGACCAAATCCAGTCCACCACCTGTTTTTGTAAATAAAAGTTTACTGAAACAAACTACATCCAATTGTTTGTATATTGTCTACAGCTGCTTTTGAACAAAATGCCAGAGGTGAGTAGTTGTGACAGAAGTAATTGAGACTGTAAAATTTCAAATACTTATAATCTGTCACTTTAAAGAAAATGTTCGTTGTCTACAGTGTCTTTTATTCTCACAAATATACTCAGAGATAAATATGGTGTTTCCCATTTTATGATTAAGGTAACTAAGCATTATAGGTCATGTAGCTAGTAAGTGCCAAAGCTTGGGTTTGAGTCTAGATTTATCTGATTTCAAAATTTCATGTTCTTATGCTATACTTATTGAATGTGCAGCAATAACCAAAATATAAGGTAGGAAGAAATAAAAGCCTTACAGAGCCACAGAGAAATTGCTATTAGAATTCAGAAAAGGAAGATATTATTTTGAGCCTGGGGTGATAAAGATTCTGAAGAAGATCATATTTTAATATAAAATTTAAAAATTAATCTCAAGAATCTTCTGTCCCAAGTCTAAGCCCAAGAAAAGTTAAGAGATCAAGATCATATGTTTAAGTAGAAGCAGAGATTGGAATAAAGTCTCCACTTACCAGACCAAAGTATGCTGTTAAACATGCTGAGCCATTGAGGTTTTTTGTGTGTGGTTAAATGACCGAATTATTGAAATGAAAATTCATACATTATGCTCAACGGCAATTAAACTGAAGGAGTATTTATTTATTTATTTATTGGTACTGGGGATTGAATGCAGGGGCACTTTACTGAGTCCTTTTTTAAGTTATTTTTAAATTTTGAGACAGAGTCTCAATAATTTGCTTACTATGTTGCAAAACTTTGCCACAGCCTCCTGAGTCACTGGGATTACAAGCATGTGTCACCTTGCCTGAATGTGATTCCTTTATCAAGGTCTTCCAAAGTACATTTGTTCAGATATTTACACAATACCATCACCTACCCACAAAACTACGAAATACATTTGTGTTGTGGAGAATCACACTTGTGAGATTATAGGAATGTCTTGTACTCTCTACCAACTTTAATATTCAAATGATAAACAAAAGAACAGAAATTTGAAGCCATATACATCCTACCCTGAAGAAATAGGCACCTCTAAGCCAGAAGAGAAATAGAGAAGTGAATATGTGTAACCAATGGAGGCTTACCTGATACTGTAGAGTACTTTGCCATTTTTTGAAATCCGCAGCAATTTGTTGTCAGTGGTGACATCATGGAAGTTGGCACCCTTCTCATTGGCAAAGAACAAATCTGGTTTCCAAATGGAGTCTAGCATGGATGGGTCCAAGTCCAGGGAATCATCCGGGTACTCACTGTATGCCAGTCGTGAATCATTCCACTGTTGTCTCAGAAAAATATTCACTCGGTAGTCCTACAGAAATGTCATGCACAAGAGCTCCTTATTGACCGTCCTGGCATAAGAAGTCTATTTAAATTTCCCTCTCAGTCATCTCTCTGATTTGATAGAGTGTTTGTTGCTGAATAAAGCAGGCTGAGTATATCTTGGTCAAAATAAACCACTCAGTTCTATTAGGATTGGAGCCAGAGGGGAGGAAGAAGGAAGAGGCAGTCAAACCATAACACAAATGGAGCAGGTTGGCTTGGCTGAATTTTTATGCTTAAACTATTATTTCTGGTGTGAAATAATACTAACTCAAGTTGATTTTGCTGTAGAAGAGGGTAACAAGTTCAGAAGTCTGGGATGACATATTGTTAAATAAAACTGATTTGTTTTTCCAAATCAGAAAAGAGACCATATCTAGTCTCTTTATGCTTGATGTTCTGGGCAGAAGAAAAGCCATTATGTAATTTTGGAGGGAAAAATTTGAAAAACTGAGATGATGGCCTAATATTTTAAAATATCATCAACATACACATTAAGTCGCTTCATGGTGACAAAATAATTCTCTCAGCTACTTTCAAAATTCTTAATTATTTTATCATTTTCTCTGAATGTATACATGTAGCCAGCTTAATGCTTCATCCAGAAATCTCTTTTTATTTTTTCCTAATTTGAACACCTTCTTGACAAAGGTGTTCTGCCTTGTGGGAACCTCAGGTATACCCCCGGCATTCTCACTTGATCTGGAAACTTCCTTCTATACTAATGAATTAGCTTGGGGTAGTGACTGCTTTCCTGAGAAACTCTACTAAAAGTTCTTTAGGTTCATGGGAAACTGCTTCATTTGATAATCTAGACCCTGATTGGGGTTTCATCAGTATTCGCTAGTCAAGCAGGACTATAATTTCAGAGCTAATAGTTTTCCATTCTTACCATTTGTGGTTATTTAAGGTGATTTATTACCACTAGCTACATTTCCACATATTTGGCATGTGGATTTTTAGTCATTATTTATCTTACTTTAATGATGAATAACTTGTCCTCGTTTGCCTGAGAACTTTCCAGTTTGGGCCCTGAAAAATCTCTTGCTCAGAGCACTCCCTCAGTCCCAAACCATTTCCAAGGGGTGTTGGTCATTATACCAAGTATCATGGAGACTACCTGGGGTAGCCAGTTTTGATTAATTCCCTCAGGGCCAAAAGAAAAATAAGTTTTAAAGATCAGTATATATGGAAAAAAGCTTCAATTCAGTTATTTCTAACTATTCACTAAACTTCCCAAATTCCAGTGAGTTTTTTTTTTTTTTTTTTTTTTTTTTTTTCCAAATGCGTCTCCTGTTGACAGGCTCACAAAGCACTTTAGAAGTGGCAGTTCTTGGGAAAGGTGCACAATGTGGGCATAAAAAGGCAAATAATCAAATAGTTAATAACCACTGAATATCAGTGATTAAAAATATGTCTCATTTTGAAAGGCTGTGTTATTAAAAGAAAAAAACCTTGAGGTCCTCCATTATATAAAACGAGGACATTCAGACTTGGAAAGTGTTAGTAGGTGCCCTTTATTTGGGATTTTGCCAGCCTGAACAGTAAATTCTGAAACCCAAGCAGGTGCTGTTGTGGGCCTCACTAGATTCCCATCCCAATCTGATTGCTTACTAGCTCCCCCACTGAGCAGACCATGGGAATGACAGAATTTCTAGAATTGTCCCAAGACCCCAGGAAGTTGTGACTGAAAAGAGATTAATATCAGGACAGTGTCTCCTTGGGAATGGAGTGACTGGAAACTTTGTAGTTTTGTGTGAGTAGTGAGTAAAAACATGTGATTCGTGAAAATAAAAGAAGTGGCTATTAAAAATATAAGCTAATTTATATGTAAGTATACACTAGATACATCAGCTGTGAGATTTTCTTAAGTTTTCCTGAGGAGGAAAATGCAGTTTCCCTAGTATTTAACACCCATTCCCTTTTATTTTTCTAATGTAAAAACAAGCAAAATTGTGTAGGAGGAGTATTATGCTTGTTTCAACAGAAAATAGAGAAAAAAATATCCCCTTCCTTAGACAATTCATAAGGTACTGTAAATATGGGAAGTAATGGTAACTGAACATAACAGAGGTGAGTATATTAAATATCTTAAACTATTGGCAGGCAAGAAAACCCCACCTCCCATCCAGGAAGTAGTCCAAGGATGGAAGATGCTATGAGAAGCTAGACAGAGAGCAGAGCACTGGGCAGTAAAATCATCAAGAGAACCTCCTTGTAATTCTCCTAAGTCTAGGAGAGTCTAGAAATTATATTAGTGACATGCATCCTGAAAACAGTGACCTTCAAGAAAATATCTCAATAAAGATTTTCACAGCTAATATATATCTTTTTAGAAAGTCTTCTCCATGAATGTTCTCCAGTGTTTCCTGATTTTGTTTTGAATTTTATATATAGAAAATGATGAAACAGTTCCTCCCAATATGAGAACTTTAAAAAGAGCAGTGAGTCTATTACATCAGAGTAAAATCATTAAATGTCTAAAGATTAATTTAAAATAAATTAATCCATTATTTGTAAGCAAGGAGAAGTATAAAACGTAGAAGAGAAAATATATTTTATGCCACACTTACAGTGATTATATGAAATAAGACATTTGCCAAACTATTTGAATGTAAGTATTCACTCCTTTCAGTGTAGGTAATTAAAATTTATCCATAATTATGTTTATGATATACATTATTCTAAAATAAATAGCAATGCTTAAATATCTTTAAAAATATAAAAAGACACCCAAAGATATACAGAAGTAGATAACCAAAGAAAAGATTTTCTGGAGCTGTGCCTATGTAATTCTTCCAATTCACTGTCATTTTCAATATAGGGAAAAATTTGACATCTGATATTTATCTATGCATCACTTCTGTTTATTTATGGATAGGTTTATTCCCTTGTGATATTCCAAACCACAAGAGAATACTTATATTGTTCTGTAGTCTCTCTTTGTCTTTATTTTTTGCTTTAAGGTTTAACAAAATATTAAAGTAGAAGTAAATATTGAGAAGCATGTTTAAATGCTGACAGAACTTTTTTTTGCACTGCCTTCTCTCTCCAGGGACAGATTCTACTTCAAATAAATGACATGTTTTCTTGTACTAAAATTTGTTTCCCTATGATTGACTATCTGGGTACTAGATTAGGTAATGGAAACATTCAAATAATATTATTTTTTATTTATTCAAAAGCTTTGTGTAAGCCACATCATCTTTATTCTTAACATAGGTAATGTAAGTACCTACATTCTATATTATTATTTAGTGTCAAATTTAAAATTTCTCAAGTTTTTCTCTTTTAGTTGCCTTCTAATGCTATGTCTACTCTGTAAAGATTATTTCTTTAAATTGAATTATTTTGACACAATTTAATTTAGTATTTTCATTTATACATTGAGATTACAACACTCTCTCATATATACTCTTATTAAACCTTACCTCTCTAATTATATTATAAAGGTATCAAATATGAGGATTTGGTGGGGTGTGCTGGGGATTGAACCTATGAGTGCTTAACCACTGAGCCACATCCCCAATTTTTTTTTTTTATTTTTTATTTTGAGACAGGGTCTTGCTAAGTTGCTGAGGCTGGCTCTGAACTTGCAATCTTCTTGCCTCAGACGCCCCAGCTGCTGGTATTGTAGGCATGCACCACATGCCCAGCAAGGATATTCTTTTTTGACTTGCCACTGTGCTTTTGTGGCACTTCAGTTTTTATCTCTGCCTACACTGCAGTAAAATTTTCATAATCTTAAAACACTGTTAGCTTTCATATGAGAAGTTAAGTTTAAAATTATGGGGCGATGTTTCTTTATGATGAATTTGGGATCAAGGCCATCTCATATATCAAATTAACAAAATGCCATGTTTGTGGTAGTTTTTTGATTCTTCCTTAAGGCATCAGAAAAAGAAATATACCCATCTGTTTTTTCCTTATCAGTTAGTATCTTCTTATGGTTTGCTTATGCAGCTGTAGAATGAAAGGAAACAGTGTTGTTTTAGTGGCTATAATAGAACACATATTCTAAGAGGAGGCTGTCTACTTTCTTATCTGAGTTCCTCAGGAATGTGATTTCAGATCAGAGGTAAAGTAACTCTTCACCCTTTAGCAGTAACCAGCAGAGAATGGGAATTTACCCTTAGGGCCAGAGTTCAGGGGAGCCAGAATTATATTCTAGAGATGTTCTCTTAGGAGACACATTTGTATACTTTTGTCTCTCTCTGGAAATGTTCTCTGAGGGGACATATTTATACACTTTCAGCTTTCTCTTCTATCTGGTAAATAAGTAGAGAGGATCTGCTGCTGTGTCCTGGGTAGTGTTCCCATATCCAAAATCACTCACTGCCTACTCACTTCCCTCCAAGAAGTCATTTGGAAGCTGAGAAGAGAGCATTTCATCTCTATTTTCTGATGACCTAGCCTTGGGAAGAGCTGCTGCATATAGATCGTAGTAAACACCCTTGACCTTTACTGACATAACTGATACTCTCAAACTATGTTCTCACATCAGGAAATAGGGGATTGCGAATCTATTCCCTGTTCTGTAAATTCGGTTGTTATCAGACAGAAAGCAAAGAAAATGGTAAACTGACACTCCCAAAAGAATATCACTTGTCTCATTATATATCCTTAATAGTCTTCTAAGTTTTGGGGACCATACATAATTTGTTCCACTGAATAATCTAAGCATAGGGTAGGGTCAGTTAACAATGACTACCAACAGATTTCTGTGTCTCTTAACACATATATGTATTTTTAAATATTGTATATCATTTTGATGATCCATAAAATATTCCTTAGAGTAATACAAATGTGTTGTGTTGTAATTACACATCTCCAACACTCATGCAGCAAAGAAATGAGAATTTTTACTGGCTGTGTTAGTAAGCCAATACTTTTTGGGCAGGCAGTATCAATAAATTAGTGGTATTTCATTAACCATAAGAGGGACAGATTATATAGCCCGAAAAGAAAAAAACTACAATGAGTTCTTGAAACAGATAATTATTGGCTGTCCTTTAGAAACAAACATCCCAACTAAATCCTTCAGTAATACTCTCTGTGGTGAAAGTGAGGTGTGGGGGAAGAGGAAATTCAACATGTTTAGAAACTTGAAATTCTGAAGCATTCTTGAAAAAAAATCATTACAGAAGATGTCGAGAAAGCAAAACTCTTATACCCCCAAAATAGCACCAATCAATGACTTTATCACTGCATAAAAGCTAAAGTTTCTGACTCCACCTAGAAGTCGTTCAGGAAAGAATCTGATTCTGCTTAATTTTTTGACAATATTTTCCAAGTAAAATTCTGTTTAATATCAGTAAATTTATGGATGGTAGAATCTTAGTGTGTTTATAAAGGAAGCTCGGGCTGTGGTAACACTCTGTGAGGGTGCAATGGACTATGTATGTCATCTCAAAATTCATTGTTGAAATCCTAACCTCCAATGTTATGGTATTAGGAGGTAGAAACTTTGGGAAGTAATTTTGTCATGAGGGTAGACCCTCGTGATTGGAATTAATGTCCCCTTAAGAGGGACCCCAGAAAATGTTCTTTCCACCATAAAAGGATACAAGGAGAAATCAGCTGTCTTTAATCTTGAGCGATCCCTCCCCAGAACCTAACTATAGTGGTGCCCTGATCTCAGACTTCCAACTTCCAAAACTGAGAAACTAATTTGTGTTGTTTGAAAACAACCCAATCTATAATACTTTGTTACAGCAGCCAGACCTGATTAAGATAGGGTGCATCAGGTGGCTTCCCAGGGAGGGCTTTACCTATCTTGGAAAACAAGACCCTTCGCTAGTAGATCAATTGTCACATTCTTGTGTGCATCTGAATAATGACTATTTAAATATTGATGCCTTAAATTTGGGGTTGGAATTTGGCCCCAGACTATTTTTATAAATAAAGTTTGATGGAACACAGCCATATGCATTTGCTTACTATTGTTTTTTTCTTAATTTTTTATTGGCTCTTTTTTGTTTATGGCTCTTTTCATATGAAAAGGAAGGATTGAGTAGTTATGACACAGATTATCTGGCTTTCAAAGTCTTAAGTATTTACTGTCTGGCCTTTTACACAAAAAGTTTGCCAATCTCTACTGTAGGTGGTATGAGAATTTCTTCTTTGCCATAAGCATGATAGAGTTTCAAAAAACCCACATTTTTTGTAGTTTAACACCAAAGCCATAATTGAAGAAAATAAAATATATTTTCAAAGCCAAATGAAGCTTGTAATTACATCAAAAGCTAAGAAGTAAAATAAAAGAAGCACAATACACATTAATTTTCTAAACATGCAATTCAATCTATCTTATACAGCAGAATAAATAGGCTGTTGATGTTATCCGTGAGCAACAGTTTCCAAGGGTTTTGGTAGGAAATATGACAAAGGACACCTATTAATTGTCCAGGAAGCACCTAAGCAGCCCATTTATGAACACCTTCACTAGCTCTTAAAGACACAGGAAAATAGGGTATCAATGACTTCCATTTTCATCTCTTTAAATGTTTAGCTTATTTTTGCATTCATGAACATCAAAAAGGTACACAATTACATTTTTGATTGAGAGTAGGATGCAATGAGGAGATTTAATCAAAGCAACTTAGGAGTCTTAATTAATGCAATCAGCATTAGGCCGTGCAAATATCGTCATTGAATGCCATCGTGTAAAGTTGGTGACAGTGATTTGGGCTACTAGAAACTTTGCCCCTCTCTTATAAGAATAAAAACAAGAAGAGAGAGACAGAAACTGAATGCCAAGACCAGAGTTGGATTATTGTTTCTATGTTTAGCATTTCTTGTGAGTCATTTAATAACCCTATCAAAACTGTCTTGTTTAGATAAAATTCTTAATGTACTATATAGCCTGTCAAGGTCCCAGAAATATTGTTTCTAGACAATATTGTTTTGGGGTATTAAAATAGGTAGTGGAGATGCATTATGTTTAATTTTGCCAGTGAAAGGGAGAAGTAAAAAGTCAATTAATTCTTTCTGGCCTCAAGGATACCACAAGTACAGTAATTTATTTAACATGATCCTAGTAACCTAAAAGAGAAAATTCTTTAAAAAACAGAAGAACCATACTTTTCACTTCTCAATGTCATTATTTCATTATTTATTTCTTGAGTATTTCTAAAACATCAGCCACCACAATTTTTGGTCAAATTCAACTATATTTTATTTGGGTTTCATCTAATGATATGAGTACATAATTTATAAAACATGAAAATTAGAACCAACTGATTACGGATTTAAAACAAATTGTCTGGATACCAAGAAAATATTTCAGTCAAAATGTAATCTCCATACTACAGTCTAGTACTGAGTAGGTGGGGGTAAAGCTGAAGATCCAATAGGCAATATGACCATAACATTTATTTATAAGACATATTGGTGGATTTTATGATATTTGAAGTCTTTTTCAAATATATGAAAGATGTTTGCACATGCCCTATGATGAGCTTTTCATTAGTTTTATGTTTAGATTTTATTTGAAAATCCATACATACGATGCAATTGCTATGAACTTGGTACTACTTTACATTGCCAACAAAATTGTATGGGCATGGGTGTGTGAGTGTTTGTAAATTCAGCCTCATGGCTTATATCTTAAATGTAGACCATAGGTAGGCTTGGCTATTATTAAACCTTCTGTTAGATTTAAAAGAGTAGTGATACCAAACAGCTCTCAAACTTTTAAATTTATACTTATGAAACATTGGAGATGCACATATTTAAATACTCAACTATACACCATACTTATATTGCTAACAATTCTACCAAAAAACTAACCAGGCATCAAATGTTTCCAAAATTTCTCCTGTTTGATAAATATAATATCACTGAATTTTAAATAATGACCACTTGATGTATGACTTTCCAAAATGAAGGAGCATAAAGTATTGCTTTTTTGAGCTAAGCAAATTGGAAATTGGCACTCAGTAAATGTTGCACAAATATGCAACAGAGCCCTTTGATCTCGTATCCCATTCCTTTACACGATGGCTTCAATGCTCAGTCCCACTCACCATTGTAGTTTCTGCTATTGACCCAAAGCTGTTGATAAATATGTTGCAGGTAACATTTACAGGAGGCCCTGCAAGTTGAACAATAGAAAATTTGACAGGTTTTGTTCATGGCATAATTGAGTCACGTTTTTCTCTTGCCAGTGGCATTATAGCACTTACCATGGTAGTTTCTGTGACTGATCCAAAACTGTTGATAAAAATATTGCAAGTAACGTTTACTGGAGGACCTGTGGAATGCAATAAGAATATTGCAAGAGACATTGAAGCAAAAATACAGCTCCATCAACATCTGTGCAAATGGCTAGAAATGTAAATAAAACTAAAATGATGATGAGATTGGAAAAAAAGTTACCTAGAAGCACATGATGATAACATTCCTACTAGTATTTTGGCTAATGATGGTTAAGCAATGGTAACTTACCCTGAAGAGTTTTGAATTTGGAAAATATAAGCTAAGACTATTTAACTGAATTCATTGGTACAATTTGATATTGCAGTAGTCCTTTGGTTTGGTAAGTGGTTTTCTTTGCCCTTAGGATCATCAACACCATGGGCATCAAGAGTGGGTGCCCCATGAGGATGAAATAGCCTGGGTCATGAAGTCAAAATGGAGCTGCATTTTGGATTATGGATGAGTCAGGATCATCCACTTCGTTTTGCATGATACCCTTTAAATCAATGTGTTATTTTGAGTCTCTTGACACCTCTGAATTTGCCCTTTTCCTTCTTTATATATTTTCACCCTGATGAAGAAATGATGTACAGAAATACAAAAGCCAAAGAAATTTAACTTATTTTAGGAAAATTCAAATAGCAATATAATTTAGTGTCCATTCTGTTGTCTGAGTAAATGTGGTGTAAAGCAAGGATTATCACATCTTATATAAGCTTTGAACAAAATAGTCCACTTATATCTTCAGAGACCCTGGGACTAGGCTGACCCCAGCTTTCTTTTCCCCTAGCCTTTCATCAACAGGCAAATCACTGATGATTCCCTACTTCATACTTTGCTGGGGAATTGTTTATTTCCTTCATGGAATTTCCTCTTAATGCTTTCTGAGATAAGAAAATATTGCCATGAACATCTATTCACTCATTGCTTTCCCCTGTGGAAATTTGTCTCTCTTCCCGCAGTGAAATCTCAGCAGCCCAGTGCAAGCAACACCCTAGTTGGTTCTGACTCAATCAAGTGGTAGGATCTGAATGAAGAGGAGTTTGGCTTCAGGCCTTCCTCAAAGACTGGTGGTAAAAACACAAGTTGTGGCTGCATTTTAAAACTCTACAAGTCCAATTTGGGTTGTTGAAATGAGGAGAAAAAATTGGGGTAAAAGAGTCTTCAGGCAAGATCTTTTAGTTAAAAAACAATAAAAGCAGGGAGTATTTGTAAAAGAGATATAAGTTGTTTTTCCTTTTAACACCTAATTTATCTCTTTTTAATAAAAATGTGTATTTTTAAAAAAAAAGTGTTTGCAGGCATACAACCACAGGCACCACATTATCAAAGTAATTTTCAGTTGATAGTTTTGAAATACTCCAAGTCTTTTAGTTTAGCATCTGCCAAGATGAGTTCTCCATGGTCACTTCCTACTCTGCTTGATTTTATTTTTGTCTTTTGATTACTCAAAACAAAACAAAAATGAGTCTTTCTCTTTCTTGGTCATATATTCTATTCTATAACAAATTTATTTTTCTGCCAGTAAGAAATAAAAGGTAGGGGCAAGTCATGAGAAATTGTGTATTCACTTTTCTCTCTCCCTCCACAAAGAGATCATTCGTTTTAGATCATCTAATTCAGGCTGGAAAATTTTTACGAATTTATATGTGCAAGATAGAATATGAATGATGGGGAAGAATCAGGAATTGTCATTCTAGCATCCTTTTGCAATTCACTTTGGAATATCATGTTTTTATTGGTGTATATCAATTATACAGAATAGTGGGTTTCATTGTGGCATATTGGTACATGCATATAACATAATTTGATCAATTTTACCCCCAGTACCTCCCCTTAATCTTCTCTCCTCCCTTTCTCTATTCCCCTTCTTCTACTTTATTGGTCTGCCTTTCTACTTTCATGGCACCCCTCCTCCCACTCTCTTCCCCACTAGCTTCCATATATGAGGGGAAAAAAACATTCTACTTATCTTTTAGAATCTGGCTCACTTTGCTTAACTTGACATCACATTTTAACAGGAGGAACTTGAAAATTTAAACCTTGGTTGTCTTGTTTTGTACATTATCTGTTTGTCTGGTCTACTGAAATATTAGAAGAATTTACAAGACTGAGTCATGCTATCATTTACTTGTTATTATCCTTGCTGGTAAATGGCAGTGTAAGTATATTGCTGGAACTCGAAATATTTTAAGCTATCATATATTGGCACACTGTACTAAGTAGATTAAAAATTATCTACTTTAATTATCACAAAGGAGGAATTTTTACTGCTCTAGTAAATGTTTACAGATGATGAAACTCTTCAGAGAGGTTAAGTTACTTGATTAAAATTACACTGCAGTAATTAGGAAAGCTGAGACTCAACATCTTGTCATTTTGGTTTCAAAAACCTAAACTTTTGCTCACTTTGCTACATTGCCTTCATGATGCAATGTCCTTCCTGAGTATTTACTATTCCTCCTGTTATTTTATATATTTCTTGATTCTTTACATCTGTCCTCTTCAACCTTGAGCATTTTATTTTTAAGGTTCATTTGCACTTATGTATAAAACCTTGGAAAGAAAAAGAGTAAGCTCTTTTTTTTTCAGCAAGCTATTTTTAAATTAAGGGATAAACACATACATTTATTAAGAACTGACACACATTAAAACCTCGCTGTGTGCCAGTGAGTACTATACTTCATTCCTCAATAATTAGTTGATACCATGCCTTGCATTTTGGAAAAAAATACTAAGTCATAAAGTTGATTAGCTAATTTTCCCTAGGTCACAGAGTTTGTAAAATTTCTGAGGACAATAAAATTATCCTAATGATAGAATCTGCCCAAATATGGTATTTGTTCTGCAAGTTCTTTGAGTTGAATGATAGGATTAATTGTTTTCTTTCTCTTTGGAGAGTTACATTGATATGTGACAATATAACATCTATATTTTAGCTTAATAATCTGCTCAAGTATTCTGATTGACAAGATGTTCTTAGATGTGATCACCAATGAATGAATGTGTTCTGTAAATGTATGAAAAAGCAGTTTATACTAGTTAACCTCATTTAATTGATCTATTAGCAAAATGATATTTCAAAATAAGTAGAATGATAAACTGGGGAAAAGAATGGTGTAGACATCTAATCTCTCATATCACCATCTTCCCCTTCCTTCTTTACTAAGTCCTTGTCTCCTCTCTCCCTTCTCTCCTTCCTCCTTTCCTTTTTTTCTTGCTCTTGTTCCTTTTTGCTTTTGTGAAATAGAGCAATCTGGCCATAACTTACTTGAAAGGTCCTATGTTGAATCTATTTATCACTTTGGCTAGTATTGACACCTTAACAATATTGTCTTCCTACCCATGAACATATTTATATTTCTTTAGGTCTTCATTAATTTTTCAGCAATGTTTTGTAGTCAGTGTAGAGATATTTTGCCTCCTTGATCCAGTTTATTCCTAGGTATTGTATTATTTCAGATACTATTGTAAATGGAATTTTTAATATTTCCTTTTCAGATTGTTGGTTGCAATTTACAGAAATACAACTTATTTTTGTGTGGCAACCTTATATGCTGTAACTTTGATGAATTTATTTATCAGCTCTAGTAGCTTTGTATTCTTTGGGTTTCTTTTTTCTTTTATGTTATTTTTCTTTTTTCTTTTCATTACTGGGGATTGAACCCAGAGACACTATACCACTGAGCTCCATCCTAAGCTTGTTTTTATTTTTATTATTTTCATTTTGCGGCAGGATCTGGCTAAGTTGGTAAGGCAGGCCTTGAAGTTGCAATCCTCCTGCCTCTCCTCTGTTTCCCAAGTAATTCTCTAGGGCTTTCTATATACCTGACCATGTCATATAGGAATAGAGATATTTTTACTTCCTCATGAATTTGGATGCCTTATATTACTTTTTATTAATTAGTTATTCTGGATAAAACTTCCAATACAACATTGAACAGCAGTAGTGAAAGGAGGCATCATTGTCTTATTCCTGTTCTTAGAGGGGAAAGCTTTGATTCTTTCTCATTGAGTATGCCTCTTAGTAGATGGCTTATGGTTGAGTCATGTTGTTAACTTTGCATTTTCATAAATGGACTCTGTCATATTGTTCCTGTTTTTCTGAGTGTTTTGAGGATTTTGTCATGAAAGGATGTTGGATTTTGCAAATTCTTATTCTGAATCAACTGAGATGATCATGTGGGTTTTTTTTTTCTCCTTCATTCTATTAAGATGATGTATTACTGTGTTTTGATTAATTTTCCTATTTTGAATCACCTTGGCATTCTTGAGATTTCTCAATTGATCATGGTGTACTATCAGATATGACTTGCTAATATTTTATGAGGATTTTTGTATCTGTCTTCATAAGGTATATTATTTAGTGATTTTTCTTTTGGGGGTCTTTATCTGGCTTTGGTATATGGACTTATAAAATGATTTAGGAAGTCTTCCTTCATTTGTTTACTTAGTGGAATAATTTGAGAAGTGTTTGGTAGAACTCACCATATAAGCCACCTGGTCCTGAACTGTTTTTTTGTTAGAAGATTTTTAATTACTGCTTTAATCTCTTAGTTATTATATTTTTGTTGAGATTTTCCATTATTTCTTTAATCAGAGTTAGTGTGTTCCTAGGTATTTTCTGTTCCTCTCAGATTATCTAATTTTTACATAATCTTACAATTCATTTTCTTTCTGTAATATCAGTTACAATTCCATTTTTAATTTTATTTTAATTATCTTTTACCATTTAGATAAATATGTCAGTTTTATTATCTTTGAAAAAAATTTGGTTTTGTTATTCTCCAATTCCTCTTCTAGTCTATTCTTCTCCACTCTAATCTTAATTATTTACTTCTGCTGCAAGCTTTGGGTTTACTTTGCTATTCTTTTTCTAGTTCCTTGAGGTCTAAAAGTAGATTATTAATGTGAGACTTTTTTCTTTTTTAATATAAGCATTTACATCATAAACTTCCCACTGAACACTACCTTCACTGCATCCTATTGGTTTTGTTATATTGTATTGTTTTTATTTATCTCTAATTTCCCTTTTGTTTTCTTTTTGGATTCATA